CGCAATATTCTGGTGTTTTACATGGTACAGAAATTCCTTTTTCTTCATCTTTCTAAATTTTTTTTAACCGATTTTTTCATATGAGAAAGGTTGTCACATGACAACCGTTGGTAATAATGTTAAGCGGTGAAAAATCTACCTTGAAGTCATTTAGCAGATATTTGGATTGTGATATGATGTCACCATCTGTTTAAGTGCTTGTTCTTTTCTTTTTTATAAGCAATATTATATTAATTTGTCTTTAAATATGAGTCAACAAGGAGTCGAAAAATGTACAAAGCATTTCTTTGACACAAAGCATAAGGAAACATAATTTGGAGATCCTCTAATTTGCCATGGTATGATAGTGTGTTCCCCTTTTGTTTTAGGGATATCAAATACTGCTGGAACACTGGCTGCTATAGTGGGAACAGTTGGAGCAGGTTTCTTCGTGGAAATGGTGGGATCCTTCCAAGGATTTCTGTTGCTGACATCTCTCCTTTATTTCCTTTCTGCTCTATTCTACATCATCTTTTCAACTGGAGAGAGGGTGAATTTCGATGAAACTGGTAAGTCAACCTTTATTGTGAAGATGTTTTGATATCGCCATCAAGATGCTTTGATATTGCTCTCTTTTATTCCTTTTCTGGTGGCTGCCCCCACCCAAAATCTCCCAACTTATCCCATCATCTGGCGCTGAGCTCCTTAATTATATCTTATAAAAGTGAAGATATATTCCTTTACCCTTTACCCTAAAGGTCCACTCAGAAAGTGGCATGATATCCTGCACCTCTAAACTCGTTACTTGGTTATTGAAGAATAAGTTAGTAAATGGTATTATACTCGTCAATGGGAGATGCTGCCCTTGGCAAAGACCGACTTGCGCAACTTACCAATTTTTTTTATTTATAAAATCTTTCTATTTAATATACAGGATGTTAATATTCAATATATAATGTCTTGGCTTTATTCTAAAGTGACACTTTCTGTAACTATCTTTACAAAACAACTAACAGTTTCTCATTAAAAGTATTTTTTAACTCTCAACAGCTAATGTAACAGTACTTTTAAATTTATTACAGAAGTTTCAGCCGCTCCCAAACACATCTTTAATATAGTGCTGGAGCTTGAGATCCTAAGTTGAGCCTCTTTTTCTGTAAATTTATTGTGTATGTAGTTATCCATGGAGGGAATACAAATGCCTTCTGTCGCCTACTTTGCTCAGTTACAATTCTAAGTGTGAGTGGAGGGAGTGTTAACGTACCATATAAATTATGTCATTTCTTACACTTACTGGAACAGCTGATTATAACTTAATATTTAGTAGACTGATTATTTTGTGTGACATTATATTGATTCTACATCGTTGAGCAGCTCTATAAGCAATCTGTCGCTATGATTAACTTTACTGCATGAATTCTCTCTCTGCAGCAGTTTCATGAGTTTCAATTGTTCTTGCGCCTGCTATTTCGACCGCCTCACAGAAATATGCTAGTGATGTGAGTAAAGCTAAAGCAACAATAATATTTATATCATTTGTGATTGGGAGTTAACTTCCCATGAGGTATTGTACAGAGTCCAAGAAATTGGAGGAGGCATAGTGTGGCTGAGAACATCTTAGTATAGGGCACTGAAATATTGTATAAAAGGGCATTTTTGCCTTCCCTGGATTGTATATATTGCAACTGGAACCTGGAGAAGAAGCAGATTGGTCCAGAATTACCCAGAATGTAGGGCCTTGGAATTCTTGTATAAATTAATAACATCATTTTCACTTTTTTCTTTCAATAAAATTTCATTTTAATATTTTTCCACTGGATGAAATCAGAGGAGAAATGTAGAGAAAGGTGATTTTTAGCATCCTCATGTATCAAAGATCTGTTTTCCAGGTACACCATTAACAAGGATTGTTGTCAAATTTGCAACAGCTTGTGTAAAGGTATGTTTGAAATGTTCAACATATTATTAGTTCCCTTGTTTAGTTATTTCTTAAAAAATATACTTTTGACTACATATATATATATATATATCATAATAAATCTTTAAGACAATTTTTTTATCACATATTGACATCATAGTGAAGTAATTAATTCTTGAAATGAACAATGAAGGAATGGATGGTACAGATGATAAAATGTAAGATAGTTACACGTGTGTATATAAATTGAATTCTAAACGTCAAGGTCTTAGTATTACTTTAAGTCATAGGGTGATGTAAAATATTGGAGTAGTTGGTATTTAAAGCTTTGATAAATAAGAGCTTGAGGCCATCACGTTTACAAATTTTTGCGTGATGAACATGCTATTTTTTTTTTTTATTCTATTTTGATTTTGAAAATGTCATAGATTCAATTTATACCATGAATTGTAAATATTAATTTTTTAATTATTAGATATCTATATACTCTTGTAGTTTTTAAAATTTAAATTATTATTTTTGTTCTTCAATTGTTCACTTTTTTACAATTAGGTGTTAAGAATTTTTTTGGTTATAATTTTGGTTTTTAAATTTGTAAAATTTTGATTTTAAGATATTTTAATACAAATATGAATTTTTTTTTTTGTTTTGACAATATTTTATTTTTTAATAAAATTTAAAAGTTATAAGAATTGAAGATTAATCTTAAGAAAAATAATTAATTATTTATATATATTTTTATTTTTAATTGTAAATAGAAATCACAAAAAGTTATTTTTTTATTATATAACTAATAATTTTTATTATTTCTATAAAAAAATTAATTAAAAAATAATTTTTGTTAATTCAATAATTAAATTATAAAGGAAAAGAACCCTATAACAAAATTGTAACATATTATCCATACGAAGAGTAGGGTTTGATTTTAAAATTTTAATTGACAAACACAGAAAGTTATATTGTTACGTTAAAAATATTTTTCCAGTTCTAAAATTTATATTCATATATAAAAACATGTCTTTTTATTCTCTTCAAACTCCGGCCATTTATATATGTATAAGGCTATCTAGGTTGCAAAGACAAAACACGGTTTACCTGGTTTTGTGAAGTCAAACCGTGGCCTTAGTAATCTTCACACAAGCAAGCAGAGTTGAATTGGTCTGACAAGAAACAATCAAGAAACAAATGAAGCAACAGACAAACATCATCAGTCCCTTAAAAGAAATTTATTGACATGAAGAAACTATCAAACTTCAATCAGGTCTACCCAGGAGCAAAAGAGGTCAGAACAACTCGTTTTCCATTACAGAATGCCAAGAGAGCCAGAACCCAGATCAGATTATGCACTGACCGCCATAAGAACCAGACGGAACAATCACAGAGCTAAGCCTGGTCTCAAGTTTTTCAAAGCTGCTGCTAAGAAAGTTGCTGCATTTTTCACTTTTTCTCTCGGTCAGAGCAAGCCGTCCACAAAAGATGCTGTTCTTACTTATGCCAACACAATCACCAGTCAAACCAGAGGATCTTCCTGTAAGTAACTGGCTTTGATTTCTTTTTTTCCGTTTCTGTTGAAAGTTCTATGGAATTTCAGAATTCAGAGAATGGTAGGATATGAGTCTCCTGTGAGCCTTTTTACTGGTTGATTATATGAATTTAGACTTTAGATATATATACCTGTTTGATTATCCATTCTCCATAAGTGGTAACTAGATATTCCAGTAATTCCCAGTTTTTAAAATGATAATTCTCAATTGAGCAAACTGTATAAGTTGAAGGAAGTTCCCAAATAAGGCTTCCGGTTAAGGGCGTTCCATAAGATTACACAACAACTTACATGAACTCATCCATCAATATTTTTTTAATATTAAAAATCCCTATAAATGATCAACGGCATCCAAAGCCATAGTTTTAAATCTTTTTAAAAAATCACAAGTTCTCAATTAAATGATAGTTCATAATTCTTAAAACTGATGAAAAATGAACTAGAACCCATCATGAGTCTCTGTATGCTGTTTACTGGGTCGATTATATGAATTCTTAATGATAGTTCATTAATTCTTAAATCTTCATTAGTCATGCCAATGAATTTTAGTCCTCAAAATCGTTGTTACTTGATCAGAAAATAGTTTTAAAGGCTTTGAGATTTTAGAAAGGTAAAAGCAAATGCAGTTTTTTCCATATGATTTGCAGTTTCATCAAATCATTCGACTGGAAGCAGCTATACCCAGAAGTCAGGAAAATTGAGGTCCTCCGGTTCGCTTTATAGTTCTAATAACAATTCTAGAAGTGAACAGAATGGGATAGTTATTTTCTCGTTTCAAGAGATTCAGAAAGCAACTGGGAATTTCTCTCTGGCAAATAAAATTGGAGAGGGGAGATTTGGGACAGTGTACAAAGGAAGGCTTAATAATGGATCTATGGTTGCTGTAAAGCGAGCTAAAAGGGTAAACTGTTAATCTCTATGATATCTGCAAATTTTTTTTCTCATTTTTGTATAATATTATAAAACTCCTTTCTTAACCAATCATGTTGACTGCAAATTAAATTGAACGTGGAATTAGAAGACGATAACATTTTTTTCAAGTTATTAATTATTCTTTCTAATCCTCCAAGCAGCAAGTGCAACAAAATCTTGTTTGATTCTATCCTAAGGAAAATCTTGTTTTATCCTATGTTATTCTCATACTATCGCGTGATATCTTGTATATAATTTTTTGTACTACCAACAAATGATACGATAATAATATTGTAAAAAGTAAGAAACTGTGTGGACATGCCTAATGACTTGAAATTTGGTGACAGAACAACAATGGGAAGTGCTTTTCTCAGGAATTCAAGAATGAGATATTTACATTGTCCAAGATCGAGCATCTAAATTTGGTGAGGTTATTCGGGTTTCTGGAGCACAAAGATGAACAGATTCTTTTGGTTGAATTTGTTGGCAATGGAACTTTGCGAGAACATCTGGATAGTAAGTGAAGTGAATAGTATTTTCGAAGATGAGAGTAGACTGTTCTGTTTTTCTCTTTTATTTCTGGGCATTTCTCCTTTTCGTAATATAAAAACTATGACATTAGAACTGTAATTTCCTACTGAAAGTAAGAGAAAACAAAAGATTCCAGTTCATTTAATTGCTTCAATGGCTAAAGAGCGGAAGATGGAGAAAAGGCTCAGTAGAGTAGCTTTGTGCACCTTTAGGTTAATGTTGGTTTGGAGCTTTGGATTCTGGTTCAATTAGTTATTTCTTGCTGCAGATGTTCGAGGAAATGGACTTGAAATGGCAGAACGTCTGGATGTTGCCATTGATGTAGCTCATGCCATCACCTACCTTCACATGTACACAGGTTTTTACATGAAGCTTTCCCAATTTAATTTGGCTCTTGGCATCTATGTTCAAATTAACAGATTCTTCTTCGTATGGCAATTCACAGACGGTTTCATGCTGTAACCTGTATGAATCTTGAGGTTCGATAACAAGTAGAGAACATCTCATATTTATAATGGTCCTCTACTCTAACATGTCAATGAGATCCGAGTCAATTTATTCATAAGTTTTGCAAGGCTAAACCTGAAGAAGCTAGTTTAACATGATTCATTATAATCGGTATTTCCAAAAGCTAAGAGTTCTCTGGTTCACTTGCAGATCCTCCGATAATCCACAGAGACATAAAAGCATCAAACGTCCTCATCACAGAGAAACTCCGGGCAAAAGTGGCAGATTTTGGCTTTGCACGGATGGCTGTGGAAGATCCTAGTGCAACTCATATTTCAACACAAATCAAAGGGTCAGTTGGCTATGTGGATCCTGAATACATGAGGACGTATCAACTCACTGAAAAGAGCGATGTCTACTCCTTCGGTGTCTTGCTTGTGGAGCTAATGAGCGGAAGACGCCCTATTGAACCAAAGAAGCAACTGAAAGAGAGGGTAACTGTTAGATGGGTAAGTATCAAAACATCCCCAGAATGCAAAACTGCTGCTACTGCTGAAATTTGCATCCTGTGTAAATCAAATAGGCCCAAAAATTCCATGCATATAAATTACCTTTAAAGTCAAGCATGATACTAGTTGGTATTTCTGCAATACAAGAATCTAAAATAGAAGCCCGCCCTCTAATATATTGAGGAAGGAGTTATTTTTTTTAGAACTGTTATTACTGTTATTTTGTAGATTTAAATGTAATTCAGGAGAGATGCATTTTCTTTTAAATAAAAAGTGTGAAGTATATTGTTATAAGTACCAAGGGAGTGCTGCCCATGTACAGATCAAATTATCTACAAAGTTAGTTAAATCTTCCATAAAATAAAGAAGATGACCCAGTAATAAAAAAACCAAGAGAGTGGAACCATCTATTCTTTAGAATATCAAAATCATCAACATCTTCAACCCTATCAAAAGCTCTCTTATTCCTCTCATTCCCCACCATTCAAAATATGGTTAAAGAGATAATCTTCACTTGCTCCCTACGATCACAAAATGCCCCTTTTAAGTCCGAATTTCATCCCTCACTGAACCTGTCTTGACCCAACTGATAATGAGAAGAGAAATGCATTATAGCTTTAGGATTCTTTCATAGTTGGGGCATGTGATCTTCTTAATTGAATTACATAAATTCTTGTCTTTTTTACTTATTTTTTTTAAAAAATGCTTGCGTAATTTTCATCTTGAACAACATCAAGTGTCATATATCGTAACACATATATCACGCAGGCATTGCAAAAGTTAAAAGAAGGAGATGCTATATTCTTGATGGATCCAATGATGAAGAGAAGTCCAGCATCAAACAAGGCAATGGAAAGGGTGCTTAAACTGGCTCACCAGTGTCTCGCACCAGTGAGACACTCAAGGCCTTCGATGAAAAAATGTGGCGAAGTGTTATGGGGAATCCGGAAAGAGTTCAGAGAAAACACCTTCTCGGCTTCTCAGCACTCCGCAAATTTTGTCATGAAAGATGCAAAGAATGAGAGGAAGGTATTATTTGGGATTCAAGATGGTGATAGCCATGACTTCATTTCTGCATAAAGCATATTACTTCTGGAATTTCATTTGAGTGAGGTACTTACATGTAGTACAAGTCTCAATTTGATCATCCATATATAATTCTTGATGAGAGATTGATTAATCTTGTTAGTTGTACAACTAAAGATAATGTTGTATTCACTTTCTATATTTGGAAAAAATCATGGGTGATTTTTGAGTTTTGTATATAATTTTTTTTTTATTTTGTATAGTGTATTTTTAAAGAAATTTGTTATTTCTGCCAAACTAGTAATAGTATTTGAGTCACCCATTAGGGTGCATGTGTTATGTACTTCTCTTGTTGTGTTGACTTATGAGTGTTCATTTCTGTATAAATTGAATTAGAAGAAAATTGAAGGTATAAATTCTGGATCCAGTATTGGATTGAAACCCACAATTTTTTAATATATTTTAATTTAGGTAAACATAAAATAATATTTCATGATAAACTAAAAATATTAATTATAAAACTAAAAAAAAATCTAAAAATAACCAAAAAGTCAATAATAATTAAACTAAGTCCAAAGATAAAATTAAAGAAACAATCAAAATTTTCACTTGATATTTCATACAGTTCTTTATTTCAAATTAAATTATATTTTTTTTTTCAATTCTTACTTATTTTTATTGTTTTTCAGTATAAAAATAAGAGATAATATAAAAGAAATTATAAAATAAATAAGATTAAATTTATATTGTAAAAAAAATTAAGTTTATAAATAATATGATCTTATATATGAAAAAATACAAGATAATTTATTTATAAATTATACATACAACATCAGAATCAAATATGTATTATTTATTATTTTTACATTTCATACGATGTATATTTTATATTTTATTTTTTTATAAATTAAAGACATATTTATGAAAATAAGATCCTAATTTAAAATAATTTTGGGTTTAATCTTCACCTAATTATGTATTAGGCTTTATATTATATTGATTTAGACATAATTAAACCTTAACCTCAATTTAAATATATTTTTATATAATTTTTTTTAGCGCGAGTAGAGTCTCGGTACTAATCTTGACATGATTACTCTTTAATTTTAATCTTGAATAAAATAACTGAGATAATTTTGAACGTGGAAAATATTGAGACAAAAATTAACTTAGTGGATTTTATAATTAATTTTAACTTAGTAATTGCATTAAACTAATTCTAACTTAAGTGAATTAACCTAGTAGTGCACCCAAACTTTTTCTCCTAATCAAAGCAATTCCAGAAAAGATCTTTTTAACCAAAATTGGGTTATACGTAATTTCAATTTCAAGTTAAGATATGATTTTGTTAGTCAATTTTAAACATGGTTCAAAATACTCTATAATATAATCATTATAATGTAATTAATAATATAATCACAATTTTAATTAAAGCTCCTGCTAACTAACTAAATAACATTATGTTAATTAAAAAGAAAAAATAAGGAAAACCCACACAGTACTGTTGATCTAGAAAGAAGGAAACCGGGGTGGACGGAACTTAATTAATTAATTTATTTATTTATTTATTTTGTGATACGCGCCTTTGCATCTTAGAAATCCACGCGTCATCTTTCTATTAAAAAAATCTATATTTAAATAATAAAAAATCAAACGTCTGATCCAAGGACAGGCTCTCCATTCCCCCCTTTGACTCCACGTCACTCCGCTATCATGTGATCTCTCCGTAACTTTCCTTCCATTCCTTTTCCAGTCTCTTTCTCTGGAAACAAACAGGCGATTACACTTTTACCTTCTTCTTCTTCTTCTTCAGCATTTTCTTTCTGAAACAAAAAAAAAAAAATCTTCTTCTCTACGTTGCTTGTCTGTTTCTGCTTTTAAATATCTTATATTTAAGCATATTCTTTTTACTGCTGCAAAATATCTTCTCATTTCTCTTTATACGCGTGTATAATAAATAAAAGAACGATTGAGCGAGCTTCTTCGTTTTCTTTACATATAGACAATTCTGCGTGAAGTTTTTGAGAGGCTTTGGTGTTTGGTTCGCAACCGAAGCCATATTTTGAGGTAACTTGCTACTTTTCTTCTGTTTTTACCTCTTTCGTTGCGTTAATGGTCTTCTGATTTTTCTGTTGATTATCGTTGATTTTTGTTTTTCAATTTTTTTTGGTTTAATTTCTGTATTTACATGCTTATCTGGATTTGTTAGCTTAATAACTAGATTATTCGTTAATACTTGAATAGAAAGTGCATTTCATACATTAATATTGAAGTAGTGTTTATGTTTATGGATTTTAACGCGCCTTCCTTGTACTTTTGTAATTTAGTATCTGCTATTTTATTATATTGTTTGTAATATTTGAAATGTTTTAATTTCCTTAAAAATTTAATATTATCAACATAATCTGGTTATTGATTTGTTGATAAATTAATTCGATTCCTCTTTTTTTTTTATCTTTCTTTGTTTGATTTGTCTGAAGAAGCTGCAAAGCAAGAGCTGTTTGAGGAAAGGTGTCAATGGCAGCCACCGGGAAAGCCAACGGCGCAACTGTATCAAGCGTTCCCGCCAAAGTTCAAGTGGCTGCGAATCCTTTGGCGGATGAACCTGCGCAGATTGCCTCGAATATCAACTATCATGCGCAGTACAGTCCTCACTTTTCTCCGTTCAAGTTCGAGCCAGAGCAAGCTTACTATGCAGCTGCAGAAAGCGTTTGTGATCGTCTCATACAGGTAACTAATTAACTATAAAGCCAGTATCTTTCAGTTCTTGATATGTTGATCCTTGCAGTTTTTATAGATTACATGAGTGTTTTCTGTGTTTGCTTATCTACCTATGTTTGCATAAAACCTATGTTCCACGTCTTTCCAATTCTATGGTATTGTCTTCCGGCATTTTCCATTTACTTGAGAAGGGTGTATGGGTTTGTTAACTTTTTGGTGCACGGTTCGATTGCTTTTGCAGCAATGGAATGAGACCTACTGTCATTTCCACAAAGTTGATCCTAAGCAAACGTATTACTTGTCCATGGAATACCTTCAAGGACGAGCCCTGAATAACGCAATTGGGAATCTGGACATCCAAGGTGCATATGCTGAAGCACTGCAGAAATTCGGATATGAACTTGAGGAGATAGTTGAGCAGGTAGTCATTTGGAGCAACTCAATCATTATATGACATGCTACTGGCTTAATTTGTTATTTGTGGACTATGGCTCCACTAAAGACCAGTTCATGGCATTTCATTTCTTGTACTGGATAAATATTGCGCACAAATTTGAGCAATTATACTTCCGTCTCATCAATTCAATTGAACCATGCCAACGTATGCCATTCTCAAGAAAACTTGATATATTTTTTCCTTCTTCAGTTTTAAATGAGCCTTGAAATGTATAAAAGGATGGACACTGCAATTCATCAATGTTACTTCCTAAGATGTGACCATTAAAAATAAAACCTTGCAGGAGAAAGATGCGGCCCTAGGAAATGGTGGACTAGGAAGGCTGGCTTCATGCTTTTTAGATTCTATGGCAAGCTTAAATTTGCCTGCATGGGGATACGGTTTGAGGTACAAATATGGGCTCTTCAAGCAGCAAATTACCATGGAGGGCCAGCAAGAAATAGCTGAGGACTGGCTTGAGGTTCATATTCACTACAAAGCTATGTCACATATTGTTTTTGACATGTAAGAACAGTAAGTACTGACACTTTGATTCAATTTGAAATTCTGCATAAATTTAATCCTTGGGAAATACTCACGCATGACGTG